GAGGAGAGCGAGAAAGACAAACAATAATCAGTCTGGCTACTCAATGCACATAAGTAACTGTGATACTGTTGCCTCACGGCAGTGATTTCTTTAACATAACAAAAATAAACAGCCTGCAATTAAGGCAGGTGATTAGAGAAACCTGAATAACAGGAAATACAGTGGTGGGAAAAAGTCTTTGTCTCTTCCTGCTTTCCTGTGTTTTTATATGTTTGAGGAGCAGCACAGTGGTTATCACTGTTGCCTTACAGCAAGATGGTCCTGAGTTCAATTCCACCATCAGGCTAGGGTCTTTCTGTGTGAGTTTGCATGCTCCCCCACTGTTTATGTGGGTTCTCTCAGGGTACTCTGGCTTTCTCCCACAGTCCAAAGACATGGGATTTGGTTAATTGGAAACTAAATAGCTGTGAATGAGAATGAGAATGGTCTACGACAGCTGGTATGGGCTCCAGTGCCCCCTCACAACCCTGAAAAGAATACATGGAACAGAATGGATGGATAGATTCATATGTTTGGCACGCTTAAATGTTTCAAATCATCAAACAAATTTAAATATTAAACAAAGATAACACAAGTAAACACCAAATGCAGTTTCTAAATGAAGATGTTTATTATTAAGGAAAATCCAAACTTTCATGTCCCTGTTTGAAAAAGTGATTGTCTCCTAAACCCACATTTGGTTGGGTAACCCTTGATCGCAGCAATGACTGCAATCAAGCATTTGCGATAATTGGCAATGAGTCTTTAACACCACTGTGGAGGAATTCTGGCCCTCATTATTTTGGCAGAATAGTTGTAATTTAGCCACGTTGGAGGGTTTTCGAGTGTGATCCACCTGTTTAAGGTCATGACACAGCATCTCAATTGGATTCCGTTTGGGACTTTGACCAGGTCACTCCAAAGTCTTCATTTTGGAAAAATTTAGGAAAAACTAAGTCATTCAAAGGTGGACTTGCTGGTGTGTTTCGGATCATTGTCCTGCAGCAGAACCCAAGTGTGCTTCAGCTTGAGGTCACAAATGGATGGCCAGACATTCTCTTTCAAGATGTTTTGGTAGACAGCAGAATTCGTGGTTCCATTGACGACAGCAAGTCTTCCAAGTGCTGAGGCAGCAAAACAGCCCCAGACCATCACACCATCGTATTATACTGGCAGTATGATGTTTCCGAAATGTTGTGTTACTTTTACGCCAGATATAACGGGAATCAAACCTTCTGGAAAGTTAAACTTTTGTCTTGTTAACAGGATATTTTCCAGATGTTTTTTTTGGCAAATGTGAGACGACCCTTTAGGTTGCTTTTGGTCAGTAGTGGTTTTCTCCTTAAACTCTCCCATTGATGTCATTTTGATGCAATTTTGGCTCAGTCTCTTTCTTTTTGTTGAATCATGAACTCTGACCTTAAGTGAACCATGCGGTTCTTTAATGTTGCTCTAGGTTCTTTTGTGAACTCCTGGTAAGCCACTGATGTGCTCTTTGGGTACTTTTGGTAGGCCGGTCACTCCTGGGTATGCTTCAATACTGTTAGATGTTAGTTAATGTCATAGATGTTTGTTTCTCCAATGTTTCTTTGGCTCATGGCATGATGTTGGTTCTAGTTAAGTGATTTCTTGATTCAACATGTCTGCAGTAATCAGTCCCTAGTGTGTTTAGTGACACTGACCTCGGCTTTCCAAAAAATGTGGTAAATAACAGTTAATTCATGATTTAGCAAGAGGGGCAATTACCAGGTATGTTTGGATAACCTTTATCCCTTAAACACTGAAATCACCATTTAAAAATTCCATTGTACATTTACTCAGATTATCTTTGTCTAATATTTGTTTGACGATCGTAAACACCTAAGTGTGACATATATGCAGAATACTAGGAAATCAGGAAATCAGACTTTTGGGACTTCAGAGTGGAGACATCATTAGAAGCAAGGCAAAATGTTTCAAAATCCTTTATGCTCCATGTGAATAATAATGCTGAAATAGATACAAAGTGAAGTCTTTGAATCTTAGCTGTTTGTAAAATTGAAAACTGAAAGCACTGCTTTTGAGCTTTCTGTGCCATTAGTCCAAATCATCCAAAAAAAGAAAACAGCAGATCTAAGGATATGGAAAAAAATCTAATTACTGACCTGCTGCATGCATGTGTGTTTTTAACTAATGGCCTGTCTACCTACGTTACTGCAAGGCCTCATATCCTTTTTAAATGAAAATTCAAACTAAAAATAAACACAGCACATGGGAGGTGTTGAGAATCCTAACAGTTACAAAAATACAAACTCTCCAGGTGGTAGCTAATCTTCCTTGGAACTTGGAGAGAAAAAACAAGAAGTGAAAAAAAGTGCAGTGCACTCAGCTTGTGATTAAAATAAATTAGCCACCCATAACAGCAATGAGCACTGCTGAGCCAGTCAGTGTGAGAGAAAGAAATCCCTTCCCACTGTCTTTGATTTGATAAGGTCTGACATTAATGGAAGTCAGAATAAATAACGTTTTTTGCTGCTTTACATCAGCCAAACATTTTTATCCTGGTAATCCGGCATTAATTCATTCCTTCACTCGCGGGTCAAAACAAACAAGCTGTAAACATAGCATCAACATGTTGTCACCTCATTAAGTTGCCATGGTAAACATGTTAGCACACAATGACCTATTTAACATTACACAGATATGAGGCAACTAAAACCCAGAGAAAAATCTCTGGATATTTAACCACCCGCAAATTTTGTTGTTGTTGTTATTTTGCAAAATTTCCAAAAAGTCTGGTACATTTTAACTCTTGAGTGCTGAAATGTGTGTGCCTTTAGATCATGTGTCAACCTCAATGACTGGGCAATAACGTTTAAAACAACTCTTGCCATTGAGTTTGGCTCCAAAAATGAATCCTTCTTGATAGATGTCAATATTATAATTATCGACTTTACAGCAGGAAAAACAAAGTGTGGTTACTGCTACAAAAGCTGTTTTATTTCGATAGCAAGATTTTATCTTTATAACTGTTCTAGGTATATTTATTTTATGCCTCACCTCTTTAAACTGCATAAATAATTAAAGTTTGCATTGTTAGGTGTGTGGCTGCTTTGAGTGGAAGCTAACCCTATTACTAGCTGTAGCAGTTAGCTGCCTGCTAAACTTAACCACAGCTAACCTGGATCTGCGAACTGGACTCTCGATCGAGTTTCTTTGGATTGTTGTGTGTGTTGGTGCCTTTTGAAGCATTTTTAATAATTAATATCATGGCCTGCTGTGCTCTTAACAGCTTGCCCAAGATGGCTGTGCATCAGTCTTGGTGAGTCACATAAAAGCATTTCATTTGCATGTTGCTTATTACTAATTAGCAGATGTCTGTGTTGATGTTTGTGATGTTTGTGGCATGCACCCACACAGTTTATGGATACAGCTCGCTAATGAAGCCTATTAATGTTATCTGATAACTTAGCACTCCATCTTCCCATTAAATGTAATGACTTATGACTCCAAAAAACAATGAAATCCTGTTAAAACCAATTTAGCACTTCAATAGGTCACCATGGCTTCATGATTAATAGATTAAAAAACAAAGTAGGAAGCTACCACATCTTTATAGAGTTGCAGAAATGAGTCCTAAAACTTGGATATTAATTAGTATTTTTTTCAGTTGTCTGTTGGACTTTAACATAAGCTTTATATGTCTTCATGTTATGTTCGACATCATAATGCACAAGTAACTACTTCTTGCATCGCTCTATATAAAGTATCGTCACGGGAACTTTGTTGTAGTGACTGGTGTGAGTCCATGCACATGCCATCGTGCAGAAGGTGCAGTGCTGGAAAAAAAATACTGCAGAAGTCCAGTTCCTTTATGTCCAGGTGTGTATGATGTTTCATGCACACCTGCACTCTCATTTAGAGAAAGTGTTTTTTTAACTTACATGATTGTACTTACACATCAAGAATTATAAAATTACTTTATCTCTATTCTAGCTCCGTCCAGGACACTATGGAAAATCCCACTGGCTGTGATATTGGTATCTTAAAATGGTTTATATACACTGAATATTTTGTGGTTGTTTTTACACATTTTTTATTCATGTATATGTTGGTGTCTTTCAAAATACAGAAAAGAGTTTGCACTTGGCTCGTCTTGCTCTGCTGTGGAGTTACTTTGTTCACCAGCAGGGCAAAGAAACCAAAGATAATAAGAAAAAGATGGGAAAAAAGCCAAAACATGAGCTAAAAGATACTAAAATGTTCTGCAGAGCTTGAATTCTGCCTTGACTGAAATATTTCCCATGCATTTTACTGTTGTTTATATGAAAAAAAAATACTGTTGGTTTAACGAAATTCGACTGCCACAATTTAGTTCATATCGCAAAGTTTGTTCTTAATGCTTGAGTGCCTGAAACGCTTCCATGAAATGCTTATCGAGAAGTTTGATGCCTGACATTTTTGTCTGCTTCCGTGTTGCTAAATCTCCTTCATAACCTGATTTCTCCCAAGTTTTTTGTATGCATGCAAATGTGCCGTGTAAGAAAAAGATGTTGATAAAAGACAAAATGTGAAGAAAAGCAACAAGAAAGAGAAATAAAACAAAAAACAAGGGGCAAAGACATTAAAAGAGGTGGAAACAGTGAGAGAAATATGAAGAGAAAGACAAAAGAGAGAGATGGGAAAAGTCAGAGTAAAGTAAAAGTAAATGGAGCGAGCTGGAGATGGAAGCATGGGAAGGAGAATACGATCAAATAAAGCAGTGACAGCGGGGGAAACCAGAAGTGAGAAAGCGCAGGAGAGGGAGAGGCTTGGTTGACACATAAAACAAAGATGAGACAACTACAGAGAGCGAAAGAGGCATTTGTGGAGAAGAAGCTGTTGCTGGAAAATGCAGATACACACCTCGGAGAGAGAAAAGAAAGAAGCGCCGGGATTTAGCTCGTGGAGGGGCCAGAGAGGAGAAGGAGGAGGAAGATAAGAGGAGGAGGAGGAGGGAAGGGAAGCGCTAAAGAGGAGGGGAGGGGACGAAAGAGGCAAGGGAGGACCAGTGTGAGGAGAGAGGGAGAGAGAGGCAGATACAGAGGTCCACAGACAGCAGCGGCGTGCAGAGTGCAGCGTGCAGACTGGCCACTGACGCTGCTGTTGGATTGAACACACATGCGGACACACACACACCCCTGAGGAGTGTATGAGACATGCCCAGGCTGCTGTCCATGGACACACACACACTGGCAGGGCACCAGAGAGGAAATACAGCAAACCCCCGAGCCTGAGGAGCTATGGAGAGCAGCATGTTCTTTGGTGAGTGTCTATATTTACGTGTGGTCGTGGAGTGTTTACAGAGAGCACCTCCTCATCGTGTGTGAGAATCAGTGCAAAGTCCTTCCTTTAAAAGCATGGGAGTAAAAGCACAGGTTTCCTTTGCAGGAAAACAGCGTGAAGTTACAAACCTAAGAGACCTCTTTTTGTCTGCGTGTGTGTTTTCACTGCTTTATCACAGTCAAACGCAGAGTGAAAGTGCACATTTTCTCCTCTCCAAAATGTAAAGATGTTACAACCTGCCTGTTACTTGTTCTGGAAACTAAAAAAAGGCGGATAGGGGAGCTGCTCGCTGGAAGCGTGAAGTTGCTCACGGAGGGCTCCTAAAAATGTTGAATGAACCTGCTCATCAGGTAAACGCCTTCCTAAAGCTCATGGATGAGTTTATTGGACTCAATCCTGGGAGGCTGAGAATCCAAGCTTTGGATTTCATTGTGGATGTTTAACCAGCTGACGCTCTGGAGGAATCTAAATAAGACTGGAGTCTCCTGGCTTGGGCGCCACTTGATATTCAGTGTAGGTTAGTTAGAGAAATTGACGAAAGGCCCCTTCCATTAGTTTTTATGGAGAAGACTGAAGGAGGCTTTGGAAGACTTAATGCGCGAGCGACTTCAAGTCAAGTGCTCTTCTCACGGCTGGCTTACAGTCACATCGGAGGAATAATTACACAGGGATCCGGAGTTCTAAGGGGGCGATTTGTTAAATGAAATACTTTTCTCTATTCAAGGGATTAAAGCGATCTGAAGTTACAGACCGTGGCTTGTAAGCATCAGAAGGATTTTCTCTTGTTATGCCATACACAGAGGAGGAGGAGGGAGGGAGGAAAGGAGAGCTGGAAGCTTATAAATGAATAAGCTGTCAGGTGTAGAGACAGCTTGAGCTCTTTGAGATCCACAGTCGATGTCGGTCAGGTGTGAAACTGCTGGATAGCGAAGAAAAAATACAAGGTAGTGCAGGTCAGGCTGGATGAGTGGGTTTCAAGTTTGGGCCCGTTTAACCCAAAATCATAAGAAGTGAAAGTGAAAACGCCGAGAAGGACTCAGAGGTTTTGTCAGAAGGTCACGCTTGTTTTCTCTTCATTCTCATCAGGTGGAATACTAAGAGCCACTGCGCAGTGTAAAACAAATGAAAGGGTAAAGGTCACTGCAATCCTGAGTGCACTGTATGGAGAAAATGGATGGTATCTCTTAAAAGATTAATAACGCTGTTTGTACTCTCGCTCTGCATTGCTGCAGTTTTAACTGGAGCTTGTTTTCCATTGAGGTGATTAATATCAAGTGACTTATGCTGACCTCTTGGAAACAAGATTCCAGTAGTGTAGGAATCAAAATAAACAGAGCAGAAACAAACGCTAATCTCTCATACATCACAATCAGTAAATGAACTCTGAGCGGGGTAATAGGTGCTGAGTGTGGGCTGCAATCATACAAGCTATTAGCGCTGTTGAGTCAGAGGCCCAGAAGATATTCTTGCCGGTGTGTTTGCCGCTTTCGTTGGCGTTTAGCCTCACATAAACATCTTTTTGGTTAACCTCAGATTACAGAGCGCATGGGAAGTGATTGTTGGAGCCAATTCATAGACAGCTGTGTTTATCAGTGGGCTAAACTCATGACAACTACAGTATGCTAATCTGAAGGGACCAGAGGTAGCATGTGTTATGTAGCTGGAAGCCAGATTTATGTCACACGCCGCTGAGATTTATGAAATTTCAAGAGCACAGAGTTTATCCTGTAAAGGTTAATTGGAAAATGGGTGAATGTGTAGCTTTCAAAAAGTAAGAATGTTCTAAATCTACCCTTTGTACTCACTTTGTTCATTTTAATGGGGGTGAAATGATTTTATGCTGCGTGCTTGAAGGGAATTGCTGATCTCACAGCATGTTAAGGGTCACAGAATACAATCAGGAAACTCCGCAAAAACACAAAAGTGTTAATCACATCTGGAACGTCATCGGCATATGAATGAGCTTTTAGGGGAATTCAGATTTATCTAATAATTGGATTTATATTTGCTGAGAGAACTAGATGGCCGCGCGAGAGCAAGCTTGTTATTTTGAGACTCTCTGGCAGCGCTGGCTCTCGGTCTCTCTGGGCAGATCTTATCGGAGGAACTGCCAGGTTCAGGACAGTAAGAGGAGGCAGAAGGTGGAGGAGAGCGAGCACGAGATGATTCATTATTAATGCCAGTCGGCGTCCTCCAGACATCATTTTTACTCTCTCCCTCTCTCGACATAGTGCCGCAGTAAAAAAAGCTTGAGCCCCAGATACGCGAATCCTTCAGGAAGGGCAATGCAGAGGACAGTCAGAGTCTACGATACAGTAACCACGCAAACACACACATCTCGTTCAATGAGCTGCTCTTAACATCTCATGCTGTGTGTGCAGCAACACGGTCTCAAAAGGAATGGATAAGCAAAGGCGAAAACAAAGGGTGAAAACTTGAATCTATTCCGATCTTGTTTTCCAGAAGTCAGATCTCATCTCAGCTCTACATCCCTACGCTTGTGGGCCAAGCGGGCAAAAAAGCTTCTCCAAAAGCCCGAGGTTGAATGCGTATCAGCTCGATTGTGCCTAATTTGATTCATTAAAATTATGTTTTAATAAAATAAGCCCTAAAGCATGCCTTCAGTTGACATTAAAATGTTATCAAGCTGCATTATGCTGATGTGTTTGCATGTCCTGCAGACACAGAGCATCATTAGCATTGGATTGCACTCATGATGTGGGGAAAAAATGACAGCTGTGATAATATTTTTCTTTTAGCTCAGCTTTGGGCACCGCCTACTCTTCAGCGAAATCTTTGGGTTTTTTTAATTGTTATGTTCCCGTACAAATCGCTGACTTTGTCTGCTTGGATTTTGGCACTGGGCGGCATCGAGTGCGTTTATTGCGGCCTTCTGTGGTGAACACAACTGTCTGTTGTGGCTGGATGTGATTTGATGAGACCCAGTGAATCCAAACAGTAAAGCAATGGGCAAAAACAATGAACACTTTGTTGAGCTCGAGGAAGCAGGGTCAAGTGCCAAATCTCTATGAGATTATCACTATACAGTAAGCGATACTTGGATTCAGTTTTTCTGGGAAAAAAATCCAAGTCCAATGGCTGTACTGTGATTTCAGCTACATTCACATGTAAAATGATCTCTCATGCATAAGATAAGATAGCCGTTATTTGTCCCATAGACTAGAATAAATAAATAATAACACATAGGAATAAAAAAAATCTCAGTAACAGGCTGCCACTCCCCCGGCGCCAGATGTTGAAGCAACACTGAGAGAGCAAGAAGTGGCAAAGGATGAACAGCGGCTAAATCTAGTGATAGAGATACTAAATTAACAACAATCAGGTGAACTGAAGCGTGACGGTCACTGCTGAGAGCGAGAGCGATGTCAGGCGGACAAGCTGAGAACGCTAAACGTTTCCATTTTAATATTGCAAAATCAAAAATCCAGCGCACCAATAGCTGGGCACAAATAAAGAAAGTAGTGTTGGTCTAATTAAAGCAAATTGCACAGAAACAATGTAAATGAAGCCTATTATCAGATCTTTGCTGAGACTTCATTTAAGCAACGATTGCATCTTATCTCATATTTTATTTGATTGATTTCATTGGTGTCAGATCTTGCAGAGGGAGACAGTAAGCTCTCTTTGCACTTTTCTGTGTGGCATCAAGTACAAATTTGCGGTTACATTTCATAAACAAACATTTTGCAACCTCAACAACTCATAAATCTTACATTTAGCTCTCGCATACTTGGTGCCATTGCCTGCACGAGAAGCTCACAGAGAGGTCTTCATTCAGCTCCAGCACTTTCCTCACTATGTAAACAGATCAGTACCAGAGAGATTGTTTGGAGGCCACTGTCCTGACACATAACCAGGCTTCTTATTCCAGTGACCTTTACTGTTCTGTTTGTTTGGCTTTTGCTTGTTTACTTTAGTTGTGATGATTTCAGCAGATACTCCTGACAGAAAAATAGACGACTAGGCAAAGTTCGTCATTTCTGACTTGCAGGCTTTTCAGTATTCAATATAATGAGTGTGACCTGATGACCTTTCAGAGTGGCTCCGGAGAGAGACTTGATGCAAAGTAGATGACACCGTCACCTGGATTTACTCAGTCACTAAGTCGGGCACACAGAAGTTCTCTGACATGTATGAAACATTTGTGCTTTTACAGCCTCCTGTACCTGACTTTTTCTGGCACTGTGTTAAAGTATCATGAAAGGAGTATGGTGCTCAGTAGCTGGGGTCAAAGTTTACTTTCCTTGTTGCCTTTTATTGTGACCTTTTGAGGAATGCAGGTATGTTTACATGTGTTTGGGCATGTTGGCCAGGTTGCAATTGTTGCATTACCTTTTACCTTTTTACACCTCAGGCTTAGGAAATTATGGAAGACCTTAATTCTTTACTCTCAGAGCTCTTTAGATTATTAGCCATACAAGTCGCATTGATCTACAATATGTGTGGGAATAAGGCTGGAAACCAATCCAATGCTGTGGACCAGATAAAAAGTTGATTTCATTTATTGGCACAAAAAAACCCAGGGAATTTGTCCAGTGACCTTGGTGATCCTGTGACGGTTCATATTGCACCACAGTGAGAAATATCTCAGAATAATTGCATCAGTTCCTGTAAAATTTACAGATATTCAACAGCGGGACAAGTACTCATGTCTGATTCTCTAAAATCACCATGCACACATGTTAAAGACGTTTTACATTTACATGTAAAGTGAGCTCTCAGAGAGCAGCAGGAGGTCTCTACTTTTTTATGTCTCACTCTGTGCACCGCTGCTCTCTGTCACTCGCTCCACCCCGCGAGCACATCAGACGGGGAGAGAGCGAGAGCGCGTCGTTACTGTGAGAGCATGATGATGTGCCGCTTTAGAGCTGTTGCTAGGCCTTGTTTGAAAAGACGTGATCTGCCAAAGGTGTATGAAAAAGTGACGAAATCTTGTGACAAAGTTGCTAAGACAACAA